ATGGGCTCCAGCTGCAGCAAGGGAAGTTGAGGTTAGATATGAGGAAAAACTTTCTTATGAGGAGGTGGTGAAGCACTAGAACAAGCTCCCCAGACAGGCGGTGGCGTCTCCATGCTTGGAGGTGTTTAAGCCCCGGCTTGACAAAGCCTTGGCTGGGACGATGTAGTTGGGGCTAGTCCTGCTTGGAGCAGGGGGTGGACTAGATGTGACCTCCTGAGGTCTCTCCCAACCCCCCTTGTCCATGTTTGTCTGAAGCCTGCTCGCTCTCCTCGGCAGGGAGGGAGGCTGCTGTACGTGCAAGGCTTGGCTACTGACTGTGAGGCCTACTTTGGACCCGTCCCGTGTGCAAGAAGCAGCTGTGCTGCAGGGTCCCCCACTGTTGTGTGTGGGGCAGGGGAGGCTGGGGAATGGGGCAGACCCTGCTTCATTCACGTTCCTACCCCCCAGGTTGGGAGGGCGAGAAGCAAAGTGTAAGCTCACAGCTCCGTTCAGTATATGCCTCATGCCCCTCTCCCCCTGCAGGAGCCCCCACACCTCACGGGTCTGTGTCTGCCCCACTTTGCACCATCAGGCTTGGAGCATGGCACTTTCCAGCTCCCAGCTCTGTGTTTGGGGTGCTGGGACTGCACACCCTCCGCGCGGGAGCTGCAGCTGGTGCAAAGACCCAAGCTCAGTCTGAGCCCCCCTGGTTATCCCTTGCCCAGTGGGGCCACTCCATCTCGCCCAGCAAACAGCTCGGCGCTTCCAGCACCCGTTGTCCTGCTGCAGTCTGTGCCCATCAGGGAGGCAGAGCAAGTGTGAGCAGCTGGGGCCCTGCTCTGGGCCTGGGGGGTCTGTCTCTGGACGGGCGGAGGGCACGGGTGCAGGGAGCCCTGCCTCCCCCCATTCCCCCCGCCACGCTGGGCCTTCTCTCTGCAGTCCTCCAGCACCGGTCCAGCACCGCCAGACCTGGACTTGAGCCAGGGGCATCCTCTGCCTGGGCCCAACCCGGCTCCTTTTGAACGAGGGGGGATCCGGCAGCGCCTGCCAGCCGGAGACGGTGGCTTTGCCCTGGCCATGCGTCACACCCCGGCTTGTGGTCGGGGCAGGTGACTCAGGCAGTGACTCAGGCAGGCGGTGGGTGAGTCAGCGGGGGGGTGTGGGGGACAGTTGGGGGGTGGCGAGGCTTGGTGAGGAGCTGGCTGATGGGGGCTGGGAGATGCAGGATGCCCGGGCTGGGGGAGCCTGCACTGAGGATGGAGGTGGCAGCATGGGCTCCCTTCCCTGCCAGGCTGCAGGGAAAGCACTTCAGCCCCTGTAGGGGAGATGCCTCCGAAGTCTGCAGCCACGGGGCCGTTCCCTGGGTGGATGGATGCCACTGCGTGGGAAGAGGCAGAGGCTTGGGGGTGATGCTAGCTGCCCGGGGGTGGTGGGCAGGGCATCCCAGTCCTGGGAGCTTGCACCCAGCCCTGTGTGCAGAGGGCTCTGGGCTTGCTCCCTCCCAGGATCCTGCTCTGCTGACCAGCTCCCCCCTGGCTGGCGCTTCTTCCGCCCGTGGCCTAGCCAGCCCAGGTGGACAAGGGCACACTGGCTTCTGGCTGTATCTGCTTCCCTGCCAGCCTTGCCCATCACTCTGCCCTCCCTCCAGGTCCAGTAGTGGATGCATTGGGGTGAGTCTGAGTGTGAACCGCAATCTTGTGGCTGTGGAGCCCTGACCGCCCTTCCCGTACTCAGCATCTTGCAATTGCCAGCACCTGTTCTTCCCAGCAGCCCAGCCTTCTCCTCCCGGTCCGTGGTCCGTGCGGGCTTTTTGCTTCCTCTCCTCCCCCTTCCGGGCTGTTACCTAACCCTCTTTCTGGGCATCGGTTGCGTGACTCGGCTGCCCCTGTTGCATCACTCGCACGGACCGAGCGGCAGCAGGTACGGTGGTCAGAGCTGGGCGGCCCCCCCCAGCAGCGTTGCTGAGTCTCTGCGCGGCGTGGGTGCTGAGTGGGACCCGGGCTGCCTGCGGAGGCACGTCCAGGCTGTGTTCATCTTCGGTTTGGGGGTGGAGGGGACACGTGTTCAAGCCATTTTGGGCCCTTCCTCTGCTGGGGCAGCCGGAGCAGCGTGGCCAGTGCATGGAGACCCCCTGGCCTGCCATGTCGGCTGCCTTGCTCTGCAGCTGCAGTCCTAGGCTCCCGTCTTCCCGCCGGGCCTGGACCCCCGTGCCTCACTGATGGGTTTCCCACCGGCCAAAGGATGGGGTGGCAGGGAGGTTCACGCATGGCTCACGGCAGTGGAAAGCCCCTTTCTTGGGCAGGTGCAGACAGGGCCTCAGCCCGGGAGGCTCCTGCCCATCCAGCATCATGGTGCTGGGCTCAGCGAGAGCCAGGCTTGCCAAGCTGCAGCAGGCAGGGAGGCGCGGTGTGCCGGGCACATCTTTGCCCTGCGTTGCGCGAGCAGGGGGCAGGTGAGACGCGGACATCCCTGCAGCCGTCCTTGCAGCCGCGGCAGCCTTATCTGCAGGCTGCAGCCTTGCCGGGCAGCGCCGCTGGCCTGACAACAGGCACCCAGGGCCTCGTCTGAAGGCTGTCACAGGAAGAGGAAGCGGTCTGCGACGGCACAGGTTGCAGGAACAGCAGACGGTTCCCATGGGGCAGATGCCGTGTGCATGAGCCTTTACCCTTGCCTTGCTCCTGCATCCAGGGCTGAGGCCCTGCTCTTCACGCTGCTGCATCCCGGGCGGTGGAGAAGCAATGCAGCCCGGAGCAGTGCAGCGGCTCTGCGGGGAGTGATGGGAGTTGCCGGGGCTGACGGGTCGGGGGACATGGGTGCCGATGGAGCGACATGGGGTGAAACGGGAGCATGTGTTGATGGGGCAGACAGGGCTATGCGGGGGGCTTCTGATGGAAGGAGGAGGGCAAGGGCAGGGGCAGGGGAGGACGGCGGCCCCCTCCCCTCGTGCCCCAGCCACCCCGAGGGTCAGGCCTCGCAGCGGGGCTGCACCCCACGCGAAGGGGGCTGTCGTGGCTAGTCCCACATGCGCAGGTGTGTGGCTGTGACCCACAGCAGGTGTTCGCCGGGAAGCTTTTCCAAGCCTGTCGGCGCAGGGCTTGCGCCTGTGGCGTGGGGCTTCTCCTCGCTGCCCCAGAAGCTGCGCTCCCCTGCGGGGAAGGGCCCCGCGCCTGCCCCAGGGGTGGAAATGCAGCAGAGACGGGGCATTGGGGCCAGCACTGCCCCTCGGGGGAGCTTGCCAGGCAGCGCCAGCCTGACCATGGCGAGATCCTTGCATCGGCCTGGCTGGCGCAGTGGTCTGAGGGGGAAGAGGCAGCTTTTTCTTTCATTTAGCAACAAATACCAGCCTGGAGAAAGGAGGCCGGGGGTGGAACCGTGTGTGTTCATTTCCCTTGTCCTAGGCCCAAATCTCCTCCTCCAGCACCCGTTCTGCGCTGGGTCGGGGACCACGGGGTGTACCCTGCGTGGCCCTGAGCTCTGCACAGCGTCCTACGGGGAGCTCGTGGCCAGGACTTGCCCCTGACGGGGAAAGCGGCCGGACCGGAGACCCCAGCATCCTACAGCGTGCAGCGAGCTGCAGGGAGAGTCCTCCCCACCCCCAGCTTGGCTGCCTCCCTCGCTGCCTCTTTGTTTTCTGACAGAAGACTCCCATCCCTTCGCATGTCAGCCCAGGAGCAGCAACCCGCTCGGGGGAGTACATGTGCATGTGTGTGTGTGATCCGCAGCGCTAGCGAGCGGGGGGGAGTCACCTCTCTCCCCCTGAAACAGCCGGCGTCTCACCGCTCCCCGTCCACATTCAGCCCTTCTGGCGTGGCCGGACCGCGAGGGTCACCGGCTCCCTCTGACCGCGGTGGGATCAGTCCCTTGGCACGAGTACGGGCAGGGGGCTCGGGGGCCGGTGCAGGGTCTCCATCACGGCTCAGCGGTGCCAGAGAGAGGTCCGGGACTGGTCCGGAGAGGGGTGGAGCAGAGACCGGGGGCAGCCGTGCTCTCTCCGTGTGCAGCGTTTGCGCTCTCACTTTCGTGAGCACCAGATTCCCGTGCAGGGTCCGCGGCCGCGCTCCGGCGAGAGGCTCCGATTCTCCACGTCTCCCTTTGCCTCCCGTGTGTTGCAGCGCCCGCGCCGCCTGGGCTCCCAAGCGCTTTGCCTGGCTGCGACATGCCTGCTAGGGGTGTTATCTTTGCTCGCTGTCCCCCACGGCCCTCCTCTTCCTCCGCCAGGCAAGCCCCAGCGAGCTGGAGACAGGAAAGCGGAGACAAAGGTCTGTCCCCAGCTGGGGCGGTCCCCTCCGCCAGTGGCTGCCGAGCATGATTTTTTTTCCCCTCTCCCTTGCTTACGTGTTGCAGGTTTCTCGGGTTCCTGGTTCGGGTTTGAGCTGGCAGGGCTAGGCCGGGTGTGGGGGGGGGAGCTGGCTGCTTCTCAAAAAGGGCTGGTCGTCCTGAAGGACTTGAAACTGCTTTCCATTCTCTGACTGCTCTTTCCTGGGGCCTGTAAACCGGGGGGGGCGGGGGGGGGCTTGGATGCGGAGACGGAGCAGGGGCTCAGGAGCAGGGTGGGGGAAGG